AGTCATCTGTAAAGGTCCTCCTAGCCTTTGATGCCGTGATTCTATGACTAAAAACTGCAGACCGCAAGAATTTTCATGGGCCAGTTTGAGCCTCTCTTTTTCAATCTGCAAATACTGAAAAGGCAGTTTCTAGCACAGGCTAATGGGGCAAATATTGAATTACCCTCTGGGAAAGATCAACTTGTCTCTCTAGAACATTTCCAGAGGGTCAGCAATCCTTTTTGGGGTTTTATTGAAAATTCTCTCAGAATCCCAACCAGGCATGGAATGCTATAAACGTCAACACTCATGTTTAGCCCATTTGTCATTATCAGAGAATCTCATATTTGGGGGACTGCTGGAAACCATGTCAAAAGTACAGATGGTGTGGCTCTGTGAGATCTGGTACAGATTCATGAGCAACAATAAGTGGTGCTAGCCCCTGGTGGAAAATACAAAGCAGAGAGAAGAAAATTATCCTCAACTGTATTTCTTTGGGTGTGTTTCATTACCAACTTCCATACATCAATATCCTGTTTCTTGTTCTTCTGCATTTTCAGATCAAATACTAAATTTGTTCAGCATGGAGCAATTTTTCATTTTGTTTGTCCATTGAATAACATCCTGGCCTCCCTTCCCTTGTGAAAGTGATTTTGACAACTGTAGATTTGAGATCTTTTTGTATCTCGTGCCATCCCTGTCATAAGGCCAACCTTCTAGTCACAAATTGAATTAATTGGGGGCAGATTCTGAGTGGAGATTTGCATGCAAAAGTTTATTGGGCAATATTCTCATTATCAACACTTGTGGGAGGAAAAGAAGGAAGCACGTTTGGGCAGGAGAAGATGGGCTGTGGTGCAGTCATAACAAGGCCTCAGCCTACCCTTCAGGGAGCTCTGACGTTTGGATGGCCACTTGGAGTTATCCCATTCAGGCTGAAGGGGTTGTGCCTTTAGTCCTCGAAACAACCAGTCATTGGATGCAGGCTGCCCTGGGAAGGGAGTATAACCTTAAGCTAGGTAGCCTTATTCAGCCAGCAACTTTCCCAGACGCTGAAGGAATAAGTCCTTTGGTGCTGAGGGGGATCTGGGTGGTAGAGCACAGCAACCCTACACTAGCCTTTGCCAAGATGACCTCTTTGTTTAGCAAGAGTAGCCCAACAACCAGTCCAGCAGGATTGGATTGGTCATAGCCTTGGCTCAGTTCTCCATCCACAATCACCTTGCCACTCCTCTATTGTCATGCTCCTATGTTATTTTGGTTGAATGCAGATGACAATCTAGCATTCACCCAGTTACCTATGTGGTAACTCCCGGTCTTTAAAATGAGGAAGAAAAAGAAGTTGAACAACAACAGTGGTCTGATTAGGATGAGAGAGTTTGCTGCTCAAATAAAAGTAGCTTTCACTATTGCAAAGTTGGGCATGTTAAAGCTCACACAGAGTGGAGGACAATTCTGAAGTTATTAAAACAGCAGGCATATTTTTACAAAGCCAAGGCTTTGTTACGTACCTCACCTCCTACAAGCACTGACGCCTGCTTGTGATCTGGCTCCAGAGACAAACTTTTCTCTTTTCTTCTCCTTAATACTTATATTTACCTCTGTTCAGTCAGCTGCAACAGGGAATAGTCAAACTGCAATAAATTACATATGAAAAGAAATCAATGCTTTTTTTCTGGATTACTCACTAACGTTTACTGAATTGAGATGACCATTCCCCCCAGGGTTCTCGAGGACACAGCCACGTGTTCAAGCAGACACAGAGAAACTCTGCATGGTAAAAGATTCTGCAGTGTTAAGCCACAGTTGTGATGCTCACAAATGTGAGCAAGCCTCATAGCCCAGGAGGCCCCAGATCCAAGCTCATTAAGAAATCAGTGTGCTTTTTCTATTTAATTTTTGAGTAGGTAATACATTCACATGGTTCAAAGAACAGAGGTATATAAAGATCTATAAAGTTGATGTTTAAGAGGCCTCTCATTTGTGGCAGCAAACAGCATACAGAGCAGCACTCATCTGTCATCCATGTCTTCCAGGAGCTTATGCTCTTAGAGGACAGCATGAGTTGTATTTTTTAATCTTTATTGTTTTTGTACTTACAGAAAATAATGCCTACTTCTTGTAAAATAGTCAAACATTACATAAACGACAGTGCAAATAGAAGTTCTTGGTAATCCTACACCTCAGAGATAACTACTGCCCATTCTTTCAAATTTTTTCTATACATATACAAACGTGTATTTTTTTACAAAAATAGAATTATACTATAGATGCTATTTTGCAGCTTTTTTCTATGTAATAATATGTTGCAGAAATCTTTCCTTTTGTTACATAGAGGCCAAGCTATCTTTTAACAGCAGCACAGTATTCTATATGTCTGTACTCTAATTAATTTATCCAGTTTTATTTTGAATTTTTAAATGTCTGTCATACAGTTCTTCAAATTGGTGATTCCATTGCTTGGACGTGATTTACCTTGAATTTAAATCTACTCATCCCCAGAGAAATGAATGAGAAGTCAGTAAGGGTAGCTTCATGGGGGAAGAGAGTCATCCAGAAAGGTCTATAGGTAGCAGGAGAAAGGACAGACAGGTGCACTCGCCTTGAGTAGGTAACAATGAGAATACTGAATAAGTGGGCAAGACCATCCTCCATATTTGAGTGAATGTAAAAACAGGGAAGAAGTGCAGACTGGATGAGGTGAGGGATTAAAGAAACTGGGATAAAAGCAGGCTGGAATGGAATGAGTCTTAATACATGGATGGTGAGCTGTTACATAGCAAAGGCTTTATGGAGAGAACTGACATGCTTTAGTTGAATCCAAGCTTGATATTAGTTAACAATATAACGTGGCTATTTAGAAACATGAGCAATCTTAGGCTGCTAAAATAACAGCCCATATCAAAGCAAGCGAAAATCCCATTGTCATCCACACTGGTCACATCACATCTGAATTATCAGGATCAATAAAATATTCACAAATATCCATAGGAGAGAGACAGAACAGTGAGGCAGCCTATCATCATGTCATAAAAGTAATTGTTGTAGGATTGGGACATCTTTAGCCTGAAGAAAAGAAAGATAAGGGGAGATATGCTAACTATCTTAAAAAGTGTCAAGGATTATCACATGGAAAAGGGATTAAACTTGTCTGTCAACCCAAAAAGTGGAATAGAACTAAAGAGTAGAGATTACAAGAGAGCAGATTTTTTCTCGACACACAAAAAACTTATATTTTGCTAAAGTCTTTAAAAAGTTTAGTTTAAATATATCAAAGACTCCCTGTGTAATTTCATTACCATTATCATTCAGCCAATACTTTTTTTATAAATAGTACAGAAGTAAAATTCAACCTAGTCCTTGCTAAATTTTCATAAATTCTTAATTAGTGGGATTCAAAATAATGAGTCTTTATTGCACACTGCTTAAGAAAAATTTTCAAATACTTTAATCCCTTTCTTCCTATGTTTATTTCTTAATCCTATGCCTTGGCCCACCATGCGCCCTCAACTCCCACTGAGGCAGTGAACACATAGAAAACCCACACGAAAATGTAAATCTGAGAAATAAATATGCGTGGTTGGTTTAAAAAGAGTAAGAATTAACGTTTAAAGCAACGGTAATTTACTCTGATCTGTAATTTTGAGCTCTTGTGCTGAAATTGCTCATTTGGAAATTACCAAGTTCTTGGGTCTCATTTGTGATCTTCCTGCATACACCAAGCACACAAAGGAGTCGTAATGACTGGCTGAGTCACCGCTGCCATCTCCCTAAAGCATACTCTCCAAATGTCAATACCATTTTCTATGGTGCAGTGAAGATTCCCAACCGTAGCATACTTACCCTCCAGGGTGAACCCAAGACAGCACAGAACCTAGAATGTGTTCACAGGGCAGCACAATCTTCCTCCATTCCCTACTCTTCCAGTGGCTGAATTGTTATGCCACAGATCATTTTGGCATTGCGAATCATCTCCATCACCCACTTTCATCAATCATTACCTAAATATAAATGGAAAACTATTTAAATTTATGGGAAGATGGGAGCTTCTTATGACCATATCCCCAATAAAATGATGTCTATACTTGATGAAATTTTACTCAGATTGTGGATTCATACCAGAAGCAAAAACATAGACGTAACATAATATTAGAGACACAAATACTTTAAAGGACAGTACGTAGAAAACCCTGTGCTTTTCTGTGGTTCATACTTTAAGATATACTGCTCTTTCCAACTTATCAAACCCTGAATCCAAAAAGGTCATCTAAAACTCAAGCATGAGATCTTTTCTCTTTCTCATTCAGCATAGATCCAGGGTGTTAGTAGTTAATAATGGTCTGATGTAAGTTAACTAAAAATGTACCAAGAATTCCTGGTAAGCTTCATTGAGAAAGGGGAAGAACTCAGGAAGACTTAATATAATTGAACTTTTTCATAATGCTCTGATCAAAAGGACCAGTGTGATATCTTTGTTATAGACTATCTTTGTCAGGTTTTCTTAGAGTTGTTTTACCTGGGAGACATAATTTACCTTGTTGGATAGCCATATCCATGTATGGATCAGCCATATTATAATGAGGTTCTATCTCTATTGAAGCTATCTCCAATTCTGAAGAACGTTTCTGTGGAAGATGAAAGAAATGAGTTTCAACAGCAGTAGGAAAGATTGAGGCTAGAAATAGGGAAGAAGCTTTTGGCATTCTTTCCGTAGATATTTTGATAATGCATGTCAATGAAAACAACTAGGTACTATAATTCAGCTGTGATTGCTTAAGTACAGGCTTGATAAACACCTAGCCTGGTGCCCACAAGTTGTAGAATCTTCTTTCCTTACACAAGATAGAGGTGCCAACTGTCTGGGGGTTAAGGCTGAGGTTATGAGTAAGCCTGCTCTCCACGATGGATAAGGTTGAAAGGGACCCAATGGACTCTGAGTAAAAACTCAGCAGAACCTTTAATACCTTCAGAAAGATTTTAAAAAGAAAAAAAATCATTGTAGCTGTTTTTCGTTCTTTCAGGATTTTCCATCCTCCAAGCGATTATGGAAGCAGCAGTGCAAAACAACTGGCAAGTGACAGCAAGGTCTGTGGGAAACATAAAGGACGTCCAAGAATTTAGGCGCATCATTGAAGAAATGGACAGGAGGCAAGAAAAACGATACTTGATTGACTGCGAAGTTGAAAGGATTAACACAATTTTGGAACAGGTACATTTGAGATTTATTCCACCCCCAGCCAACATGTTAAATTGTCAACCTGAGGCAGTTCCCACATCTGCTAATAAATTAAGTAGCCAACTGACGAAATATGCCAACAGTTTTTGATAGTCTCTCTAATCCTTTCTCCCTCCTCAGTGGCTGCAGAAAAAGAAAGAAAAAGAAAATCTAAGTTGTTGAAAATTGCATACCATGATTAATCTGGAAGTCTCTGCAATTTAATGCTACCTATCAGATAAATACATCCTTCCACACCTCTGTTTCACAGATAGCTGACTGTTTCAAAGTAATCCCCTTCCTTTCCCATACCTTCCTCCAGCAGAGAACAGACAAGGCATTAGGCAGCGAAGAAAGGTAGGGTTTTTGTTTCAGGGGCCTAATTGCAGAGTGTAGGGGCAGTATCCACTAGGTTTGAATTTGTGGATATTTTTGCAGAATATCCCTCAGGTTTCAGAGAGAAAGGGGCAGGGATGTGTGTATGCAATTTAAGACCATTTTTTAAGTAAGAAGGCATATGAGAAAAAAATGTTCTTGGTTTTTAAAATGTGAACAAAGTGAAAAAGAATTAGACTAAGGGTAAAATACAATTCCATGGGCCAAAATGTATTCATTATTAATCTTGGATATTTAAATTTAAGACTAAAAAATTTTAGAAGAAATGTTTCACCCTAAGCCAGATAGATACTCTGTTTGGAGGAAAGAGTCTAATTGAAATATGGTGAAAGTTTATTATTTTCCTCAGAAGTTTCAATTTGCCAGTTAATAACCAAGTGCCTATGCTGCCATAAACAAAACTGTAAGGGAAACATTTCCATTCTAATTCGATCCAGTGTACCTGGGGGCCAAAACAGCTTCAGAGATTGAAATTATAGCGAGCAGCCGTTGCCTGGGAGAGCTGTTTTATAGCAAATTAAATATTAACAATTTGTCAGATACACGCCCATAAGAAGAAAATGCAAAAAAAAAAAAAAAAAAGTAGGTAAGAATAGGGAAGGGAAGAGAGGGGAGAGGATGAGAGATAAGGGGAGGGAGGGAGGAAGAAAGGTAGGAAGAAAGGGAAGGAAGGAAAGAGAGAGAAAAAGAAAGAGAAAGAGAGAGAGAAAGGAAAGAAAGAAAGAGAGAGAGAGAGAAAGAAAAAGAAAAAAATTGCTGACTCTGCATCGTAGGGATACAAAGCTGTCCCCTTCTTAAAAGAACAGCATCACCTCTAGGGAATCACACCTCACAGAAAATCTAGAGCACTAGACTGGCTACATCAAATTTTCCAACTAACATTCTCTTGAGCTACCCAAATGATCCACTCCTCCCTTCCAAAATTTTTTTTTTAAAAACCTGCCTTTGATTTTCTTAGATCTTGAAAGTGAAGAATCAGGTCAGTGACGCTGGTGCATGTACTACATGCCCTCTAAAATTTTATACCAAAATAGCCTTTTAGTGGGTGACCTACTTAATAGCCTAAAGCAGAGGAACATCCTCCTTGTCATACTTTGTTTTCCTTCTTTTGTATCAGTTACTTTGGCTTCTTGAATATCTTATATACTGTTAAGTCTTTTGGGTTTTATAGGACCTTCTACTGAAGGCTGGGATTTTTCAGCATGATATAATAAAAAAGCAGTGGGTAGAGCTCTGATTTCTATACAGCCATAGGATCCTGGGCATGTCAAATATCCATGCCTCAGTTTTTTCAGCTACATAATGGGGAAAGAAAAATTTGTTCTACTTCATATGGTTGGTTGGTGTAATTGTTTTGAATGGCATAAATGCTATAGAAAAAAATAGTAATTATTAGTAAACAGTTTCAGGAAAACTAAATTAACATCATTCAAAAACCCTGTTCTCTCTTTTCATCTCACTTTCTATCTTCCTTTCTTCTACATGCACATTCACAATACCCCTCAAAATACTTTCTGTACAATTTTTCATGGAACATTGTTCAAAGAAAAGTTTTTGCAATGTCCAGGTAGAGCTAAAGTGTTAATTTCACTTATTCTTTTTCCCTATTTCAAAAAATTGTCGTAAAACTATCAGTTCATGATGGTTTTCTCTACCATTTAAAGAATTTCTACTAGGCCATAAGTACTATGACGTAGGGACCATGTTGTCTTGTTTACTGTTGTATCTCTGGCATCCAACAGAGTATCTGGCACCTGGTGTTGGATGGATGAGTGGATGGATAGATGAATGGGTGGATGGATGAATATAGAATAAGAACATTTCAGTAAGTTCCACTGTGATGCTATGCTTCCATCAAGAGGCCAAATAGTACCTACAGTCACATGATATGATTATTAAAGTATACATTTTCTCAAAGGTTTAAGATGTAGCTCTCTGCTCAAGCCTCTTCTGATGATTTCATGAATTTGCCATAATTTATTTCTATATATAAATATATATTTCTCATTAAACAAATTTTTTAAATTAAGCAACAAATTCAACATGATATTTCTTTAGAGAAAACATTTTGTTAAATAAATTAAATACTAAGTACAGAAATACCACTTTTTGGGGCTGGCCCTGTGGCCGAGTGGTTAAGTTCGTGCGCTCCACTGCAGGTGGCCCAGTGTTTCGGTAGTTCGAATCCTGGGCGTGGACATGGCACTGCTCGTCAAACCACACTGAGGCAGCATCCCACATGCCACAACTAGAAAGACCCACAATGAAGAATATACAACTATGTACCGGCGGGGCTTTGCAAGAAAAAGGAAAGAAATAAAATCTTTAAAAAAAAAAGAAATACCACTTTTCTCATTGGTTCCTAACCATTCTTTTGACAAACTTATAATTCACTATATAGGTCCTGGTTAGAATGATAACATTTATACCTCAATCAGTATCAAGTTCTCCTAAAAGATGTCTCCATCCTCCAAAGGTGTTTTCAAATTTGTTTGTGGTTATTTTCATGCAGGGAAACTTTTACAGTCTCCCACAAAATGACACTTCACACCACTAGCTGAGGTAGAAAAGCCTGGTATACCACTATTATACTATTTCCTATAGATCAGATTTTGGCATAAAGTAAGTTCATATTGTACTCTATATCCAATGGGTGTTAATGAAAAGACCTCAATATGGTGCAATTTTTCAAATATAAGCAGGTCTTCAATATGGTATTATATAGCATATCCTCCCCATTTCATGATATAGGTTCTAATTTTCCCTGTGAGTGTTCAGACACGTATGGGGTAAACCAAAATTCTTCCAACATTTCTTTCCAAAGCTCTTTTTGATCTCTTTCAACCTTTCACACTACAGCCGAAAAAAAGATGCAATTAGGTACTAATCTGTCTTTAATGTCTCTCCTTAACAGTTAATCTATAAGGAAAATATTCCAAATTTACGGCTATAAGAATTAACATAGAAAAGGACAGAGCTAGAGATAGATGAAACCATGAAGTGTTGTCAAGGTTCATAGAGAATATTTAGAAACTGTAGCTCTTGAATCTAAGAATTAAGGGTACTTTGTATAGGCAGATTTAGATGTACTAGGATGAATAACCACTCATCTGACCTGATATAGCATTCCTATTAATGTATTGTGTTCATGAGGTGCCCCCATTGGTGGACAGCTGCCTTAATTCAATGACCAATCTAAACATTAACTTTTGAAAAGGTTGCCTCTCATAGAGTTATCTACCCATGACTGAATAGATCCTCCATCCCAGTAGCATATACCTGTGGACTGCTTTTGAAGGTCAGACCGCATAAAATGATATGGCCCCATTAGATGTTAAATATTTATTTGGAGAGGGAGCATATAGTATAGAGTTTTAGAGCATGGACTCTGGAGCCAGTCTGCATGGATTCTGTCACTCACTAGCTGTGTGATCTGGGGCAAGTTACTTAACTCTCTGTGTCTCCATTTCCAGGTTGTAAAATGGGGATGATAACTGTACCTTAATGAGTTGATATATACAAAGCATTTAGAAAAGTACCTGACACATAGTGTTTGTATAGTGCTTTGATGCTAGACAACGTGTTTTCACATAGACTATCTCATTTAAGCCTCATTATGGGAGGCAGGCAGGGCAGATGTGTTTACCCCAAATTTATAGATAATAAATTGATGCTTAGAGACATTTAATGATTTGTCCAAACGTGGCTCTCTGTTCAATCCTAGTAAGTGACAAAGAAAGGACAAAACTCAGGTCTTCTGACTTCTAGTCCAGTGCTCTTGCCCCTGTACTGAACCACCTCCCTTAATTTCCAAGTCATTTATTAAATATTTAGCCGATGTCAAACTCTACATTAGGCCTGCTCATCAGGTTACATTTTAAAACAATTGCAAAGCAATTGGAGGAGATCTAGAGAAGAGCAAAAAACGTGATTAAAGCATTAGAAAATAGGGCCTACGAGGAAAGGCTAAATGAGCTGGGGTTGTATAACCTGGTGAAAGAGAGCCAAGAGGCAGTTTAATCACCATCTTCAAGTATAAAGAGTTATCGTAAAGAGGGCACTGACCAACTGTTCTGCATGCCTAAGGACAGTACCAGAGAAATGAGCTTAACTAGACTAGAGAGAGAGTCAGCATTAGAAAAGACTCATTACTACAAGGAGAGAGGAAATTGGAGGAAAGAAAATCTCACTAGTTGAGGCTATACAAAGGTAAGGCCGTTCTGGATTACTAAAAAGTCAGATCTAGAATAGTTTTAAGATTGTTTTCAAGAATATACAAATACTCCAAGTTAATCCTATCTGTTGACAAGTAAATATCCTCATAGATTTATTTTCATGAATAGATAAGAATATTTCATAATTTGCCTGTCCATTGGATATCTAAAAGGTTGTCTCCTTAAAGACATTTAAACATCCCCCTTTAGTCTTTACCATGTTTTTATTTTTTCTATAGATAATTCAAAGGTAAATCTCAGCATAGCCCCTGCTTGAATTATAGCATATGCAAACTTAGTGGGGCCCAAACCAGTATGTTTCAATGTGCTACCCTCAGGAAAAACATAAAACGTATGATTTCCCTTGGAAATATGTCAGGCTAA